GATGTCTTTAAGGTTAATATAGGGTTTTATAAAGCAGAAGGACCCTTATTATCCAAGGATGTCAGGAACCTGGACAAGGTCAGAAGATAGTACACCTGCAGAGTAAAAATGTAGTTTAGCTCAGGAATATTGGAGGGCATCATGTATAGAGAAAGCAGATTCTAAGACGTGCAGAGGGCAATTCTAAGCACTGGTAATGACCATTTATTATGGATAAAATCTGAGCATAAGCTGACCCCCGAATAATGCATGGGTTAGGGTGCTTTGTGTAGTCAAAAATCTGCACACAACCTCTGATTCCCTCAAAACTTAACTACTAAGAGCCTACCATTGACCAGAAGCCTTAACATTAACAATTAGCACATATTTTGTATGTTATATGTGTTATATATTGTATTTTTTTTTTTAAGGATTTTATTTATTTGAGAGAGAGAGAGCACGTCTGCACACAAGCAAGGGGAGCAGCAGGCAGAGGGAGAGGGAGAGGGAGCAGGGAGCCTGATGGGGCTTGACCCCAGGACCCTGGGATCCTGATTTGGGCCAAAGGCAGCCGCTTAATGGACTGACCTACCCAGGCACCCCTATATGTTTTATTCTTATAATTAAGATAGAAAAAAACATTATTAAGAAAATCATAATACAGAGAAAACACATTTATAGTACTGTACTGTATCTGTTGAAAAAAATCTGCATATAAGTGGATCATGCAGTTGACATTTATGTTATTCAAGGCCCATTTTTATTTGCTTAGCATCCATGCCAGCAATTGACAAAGGGACGGTTGTGGATTAATAAACAAAACTCTCAAAAGGTACCTGATCCAAACTAAGCTATTCTTTTCTAGCTCTGAAGTCAGACTGGGTTACGTGACTCACAGATATATTTTGTTTGGCTTACACAGTCTCTTAGGAGATCTCACATTAAAAAAAAAAAAAAATCTAGATATTTAGCAGGTAGGCCCACTTCATTTCCATATGGGAATAATCAGCTAGAGCCTAGAAACAAATGTTCCTTGAGATAAAGCATGTATTCCCAGTTTTCCACAGTCCTCACCATTTCCTATTCCATTACATTCATCCTGCTTTATTTTTTATTATTTTTTAAATTACCAAGACTATTTGGCATTCAAGTTTGTAACCCTAGATCCCCATCTTAGCATAAAGATCACAAACCTGCACTTTTATTTACTTCTTTTCAACATACATTTATTGAGCACTGACCGTATCTCAGATACTATGCACACAAATATAAATACTGCAGTATTTTTGCCTTAGAGGCTCACAGGCTAGAAGCAGAGACCAATGTGTTAAATGATCCTACACAGAATGACGATGGCATCAAGGCATGACCAATTCTGATTGGCAAGTCAGGAAACACTGCACAAGGGAGATCTTTGAACTAAACCTTGAAGGGTAAGTAGACCTTTAGTATTATATTCCAGGTAGAGGAAACAATGTACAAATGCACACCGAGTGCAACTCTCTTGGCAATTAAAGGTGGTTCAGAATAGATGAAAGAGAGGGAAGCTGTAGAAGAGTGAGAAAGGCAGGAATGCTGGGGTTACACATCAAGAATGGCTTGTGTCTAGAATACTGGATGGCTTATTAGCATGGACACTGAGGTCAGTTAAAATGTTGGCTGAAGGGTAGGGGCGATGAACATGAGCAAAGTAGTAAAGTCTTCATTAAGTGTGGCAAAAGGACCAGGAAGTCAATGAAGGATGGTACAGCCAAACTACAAAAATCTGATAGAAGGGAGAGCTTTTGGCATGATATTGAAAGAGTAATAATAACTTGAAATTCTGTGATGTAGAATTGGGGAAGTGATCCCCAGCTCACAGAGAAGGAACAACTTTCAAATGTACAGACTGTATCCTCAGAGTTTCAAACAAGATGGAGAAGCAGGATATACGGTAGTATGTTTTCAAGAGAGCTGTTGTTTTGGAGGGAATGAAAACGGATGGAAGGGATTATCAGGGAGTTGACAACAACAACCAGAAACGAAGAAATGGGAGTAAAAAGAACAGGAACAAACAAGGTAGGAATCTTGTCCTGATGGGGAAGAAGAGGTAGGCTTTTCTAAACAAGTGAGACTTGGCTTGAGCTGAGATCTAAAGTATGTGATTTCTCTCACAGGCATCTCATGTTCAACAGATCAAGGTCAAGGAGTAGCCCAAACATTTCCTAGTGTGGTGAACTGTACCATTGTTTCTAGAGTCATTCAGGTTAGAAATATAGGAGGTATTCATGATATCTGCCTCCATTATGCTCATTATCCAACTATCATATAAGCATCAGGTAAAAAAGAAAAGCATTCCAGGCAGTGGAAACAACATATGCAATACTTTTATGTTGAAAGATAGCATGGTGCAATCTAGACACTAAAGAGCTTTCACCTCGATATAGATGAAGAAGGGACTAGTTCATGACGGGTCATATAGGTCATATTAAGGATGTGTTCTTTATCCTCAGAGCAATGGAAGCCATTGGCAGGTCTGAAGCAAGGAAAATGATATGACCAAATTTAGGTTTTGAAAAGAGCATTCTGAAAAAAAAAAAAGAAAAGAAAAAAGAAAAGAGCATTCTGGGTGGGACGGAGAGCAGATTTGAGAAAACAAGGATATAATGAGATGACAAAAAAGGCCAGTGTAGTAGATTAAGTCAACAGGAATGGGTGATAGTGATGGGAACTCTCTCCTAGTTCAAAGTTATAAGTACTGATCTAGTTGAAACGTGATGGCTGATTACACAGGAGAGAAAAAAGATAACTGAGCACTTATAACAGATAACTGATTGCCCTTAGACCTGGAAGGATCTTCCTCCTCCTGCAAAGAGCAAGGAGTCCATGAGATCAAGGTGCCATGTCTGCCTAGATCAGAGGGACAACAGAGCTGCTGATTACATAGCACTGCAGGAAGTGAGGGATGTGGACATAAGCTTGGACATGTTAGTATGGTCCCTTGTGGTGTGGTGGGTGAAGAAACTTGGAATAGATACAGAAAAGGGTCTGGCTGAGAATACTCTAAGTCTGAGAATTATAAATTTAAACCTGGTCTTCCAGATTACTATTTCAGCCAAGGTAGTAGAGTAGGATACATTTTTCATTTTTATTTTTTTTAAGATTTATTTTTTTAAGTAATCTCTACACACAACGTGGGACTCGAACTCACAACCTTGAGATCAAGGGTTGAATGCTCCACTGACTGAGCCAGCCAGGTGCCCCAAATTACATTTTTAATAATAGTTTGTTATCTTGATTTATAACTTCAATCCTTCGACACATGGTAAGTGAACCTTCAAGTCACACTCTTGGCCAGGCTCTGCAAATTTAGGGTGAGGACTGATAAGAGTGTGTAACAGTATAAAGGACTCTAATGCAAGTAGAAACAAATTCATGAGGGTTAGAGTCTGGGTCCTTATCAAGTTGGATTTTCCAGACTTCTGTGGGAGATGAGGAAAATAAATGGTGCAAGTTTCCAGGTAGTATATTAATGTATATGAGACACATTTATATACCTGGAGGGTCAATTATGAGGCTATTTTAACTGCAATGGTTTCAGTGTGATTTTGAAAAGCTCCTTCAATGTGGTAAAAGTTTAGAGCATGGAAGAGACCGCAGTGACCATGTAACTGAATTTATTCAAATAAGACAGAGGTTCTGACAGTTGAGGCACTGTGACTGAGGGTGCAAAGCTGGTTACTAGCCAATCATTTGCAGCCCCATCCTCTCTGTCCACTCTTCCAACAATGCTACTTTCCCTGAAGACACGCTTCACAAAATTTTCATTTTCTTTCATCGTCATGTATTAAAAGAAGTAAATACTTTCATTATTTTAAAAATTTGAGGCACCTAAAAAAATAAGTCCTTTACTAAATTTTGACTCCAAACTATTCTAAACGAACAAAAAAAGGGAAAAGAAAACTAAAAAAATTCCGATTTCATGAAGTCACAAGGATCAGTAATCCTGGAACGTTACTTCTAACTGTTTCCCAAAAAGCTACAGGTAACATCGGGCTCCTTTTAGGACTTAAGGGTATTGTCCTCATCTTTCTGCTTTTATTCTTAAATCTACTTCTTTGGCTTGTTAACCTCAAGGGAGACCTCAGAGTGGAATTAAGATTGTGCTCCTTGCTTTGGCTGCAACCGTGTCACTCTGATCTCTCTCTCCCAATTCCTTAGCTTTTCTAAGCCAGAAATCAACACACACGCTCCTAAAAAAAAAGAGCATCGAACACTCTCAGGATGCTAACCGCTAGTTTACACTTGAAAAAAAAAAAATCACCCTTGCTTTCCGAACATCGATAAATATCGCTGAAACAGACTTTTCTTAGGAAGTCTCGGTTGAAACAGCTGCGATAAAATGAAAATCTTTAAGAGGGTGTCCCAAAAGTCCAAAAGAAAAAAAATTTTTTTTCCCAGGGAGTCTTACCTTCCAGCTCAGAAGTAATCCGAGAGTTCGGGGTCTGCGGGGACGCATCAGAGGGGGCGATGTGAGCGCCGGGGGCACGGCGGGTCGGGCCCGCCGCCGAGCGATCCGCAGTCGCTCCCCCCACGGCCGCCGCCGCACCGGGGAAGGACTCGATTCCGCACAGAACTGCGTCCTGCGAGCTGAGCGTCGGGGCACTTGGGCTTCCTGGGCGCCAGGAGACGCGCAGGGACCGAAGGCCCCAGCGATCCAGCACGCGGTCCGACCGGGCGCAGCCGCTCGGGGCGGGCCTAGTCGGGGGTCCCGAGCTGGGGGGCTCGCGCCCGCCGCTCCCGGGGAACCGGGAAGCCCCGCCCCCGCAGCCCGCGCCCCGCTAGCCACGCCCCGCGGCGCTCCGACCTCCCACACTGGGCCGCTGGGCGGCACCGCCCCTTCGGCTCCAGACTCACGCCTCTGGTTGGCTCCCAGAGGGATCCCTCAGCGCGCCTCGCCCAATAGGAGGCCCCGCCGGCGGCCGTCCGCCCCGCCCCCGCCCGCCCCTCGCGGAGGGCCCGCCCCTGCCCCGCGCCCGGGAGCGGAGGAGAGTAAATACAACAGGAGCGCAAAATGGCGGAACCGCCGGGCCCAGTGCACGGCGCCCCCGCCGCCGCAGCCGCCGCCGCCGCCGCCGCCGAGAAGGAGCCGTTTGGCAAATTGCAGCCCCCGTTCCGGGACCCACCGGGTCCTCTGTCGGCCAAGAAGGTCCGGACTGAGGAGAAGAAGGCGCCGCGGAGACTGAACGGAGAAGGGGGCAGCGGCGGGAGCAGCAGGCAGCTGCAGCCTCTGGCGGCACCTTCGCCTCAGGGCTATGGCAGCCCCGCGCCCTGGGGCTTCCCGGCGCCGCCCGCCGCGCCCTCCCCGCCCTCCGCTCGGGGCACTTTCTCTTTCTCGGCTGGCGCGGCGGTCCCTTCCTCAGCCTCCGCTCCCTCGCCGCAGCCGGTGCCGCGCAGGCTGCTGGTCCCTCCTCCGCCGCTGCGCGCTCAGCCGCCCCACCTCGCGCTGCCCGCCGCCGCCAAGCCGCGCCGGCCCAAGGAGAAGCGGGACAAGGAGAGGCGGAGGCACGGCCTCGGCGGCGCGGGCGAGGCCGGCGGGGCCGCCCGCGCGGAGAACGGGGAGGTGAAGCCGCCGCCGCGAGGTGGGTGCCGCCGCCGCCGCCGCCGCGGGGCGGGGGGAGGGGAGGGGAGGGGAGGGGAGGGCGCCCCGGGGCCGGGCAGCGGGAGCGCGGGAGGGCGGGCGGGCGGGCGCTGGCCGGTCCTCAGCAGGCGGTCGCGCAGCCCTTGGGGACAGGAAATGGAGCCTGAAATTTCGGTCGCTGCGACGGGAAGGGCCCAAACTCTTTTAATGTGTTTTTTTTTTTTAATTATTATTCTTATTTTGTTATATTGTTTGTTTCCATCTCCCAGTGCCTGCGCCGCAGAGATCTGTCGCCCTGTGTGTGGGTGCCCGCCCGGGCGAGCGGGGCTCCGGGGGAGCCGGGGAGGCGGCGCGATCGCCCGGGGGTCGCGGCCTCGAGCCGTCCAGGCCGTGCGGACGCGGTGGCACAATTGCGTGTTCGTGACACGGGCTCCGACGCCAGAAAATCCTGTCAAGAAAAGGGGTGTGGAGAGCGGCGGCGTCCGCTGGAAGCCCCCGGAGGCCCGAGCTCTCCATCCCCGTCAGGGAAGTGAGGTGGTGCGCAGGGCCCGGGGGCGCCGTCCGCCCCGCCTCCCCGAGTGGTCGGGGGCGGCGGGGTCCTGGTCGGAGTACCGCCGCCCTTCAGAAAGGATTTTCAGCCATATTCTTTTTTTTTTTTTTTTTTTTTTTCCTGCAGCAAACGATAAAATCAGGAGCGTGGACGGTTTTTTTCCGGCCACATCAAGTGACTGCAAAAGGTCTTAACAGCAGAAAATGGCAAATTCATAAGCGTCCCTCTCAGACCGGGCTAGGCAGTTCTCTCCTAAAATGCGAGCTAGCCCTACGATTCTCAGTATTTACCTCAAATAGATGGCACTGCTTGTTTAGTTGTCGGTCCACGATCGCCTGACGGTGGTACCACCTGGAGAGTGGTTGAAAATCAGGTACTTGTGGGATCAAAAGCCTCAAGCGTACCGCGATCGTCGTTGTTAATACACATGGAGAATGTGGCCTGAAAGTACTTTTATTCATTAGGAACAATGACATGTCAAGCAGTTTTGGCATCGCTGATCTAATTGCAGCTTAAATCATGAATAATTCTCTGTATGTTCGAATTAGAACGGCCAGTTTTCATGATTTTTAAAATGCTGCAGAGGCGTATGGAGGAGCAGGGTTACATCTTCCCTGCTGTTTTGCCTGCGGAAAAGCTTGGGCAACAGGCAGAGCCTTCCTGTCCTGGCCCAGGGCGAAGTTCTCTCTCTGGAGCGTGTTGCTTCTAGGAAAGTGGCTTTGAGGATGGAAGTTTTGCTACTTTCAGTCTGGAATTGTAGGTGGTTAGTATTTTAAAGCTTTTTTTTTTTTACGCTTACCTTTTAAAGTGCCTCAAAGTCCGCCTTCGCCTTCGCAGCTTAGTATTAGCCTTACTGTGATGTGTAAACAGTGTATTTGTTCTTCTGAGTTCTCTGAATGAGGAAGTAAATGTGGAGTATGACAGTGTCAGTGCATTGGAGTGGCTGAAAATCGTAAGCATTCTTTCACAAGTCTAACTTAAAATACAGTGCTTAAAAATGGCCCTTCAAGTGAAATGGCTGTCAGAAAGAAATCTAATTTTTTAAATTGCCTTTAGAATTCTTAATTTTGAAGGCTACACCTTATGAAGTCTTGATATGAGGAATTATACCTTCTACATTAGGATGTGGGGAACGTGTTTTTCTATGACCTGTGTAGGGTTTTTTTGGTTTTGTTTTGTTTTGTTTTGTTTTTGAGTAGTGACTAGGTATAAACACTGTCGTAAGATTTTCATTTTTTCGAGAGAATTGCTATTTTACTGAGGAAAAACAAGAGAAGTATTTTTTCAGTGTCTTAATGATTAATGGTGAAAATCTTTCTTGAGTATTCTTACCCTTCTAAAGTTCAATTTTAACTAAATTGAGGTTCTGTTTTAAAAAATTAAGAATATTCTTAAGTAACAGTGTTATTAAAATAGAAACTTACATTAATTCAATATAAATATAATTACAAATATGAAAATCCTAAATTGTAATACAGTCTTGTTTCTCTGGGCTTTATGTAAGAATCTTAGTGAATGGTTGGTTGGGGCATCTGGCTGCCTCAGTGGAGCATGCGGTTCTTGATCTCGGATCAGTGAGTTCGAGCCCCACCTTGGGTTTAGCGTTTACTTAAAAAAAATAAAATCTTAGTGAGTGGATGTGTCTATTGTTTTAGATATAGAACTCTTTCCACTGTTTCTCTAAGTTAAATAGTTCATGGATAGCACATAGGATATGTTCAGTGTCCCCAATTATCCCATGCTGGCCGATTGAAGAGTTTGAATCAGAATAGGAACTGAGCTATAAAGATACCTAAGCAAAGAAAATAGATCCCTTCCCTCAAAACGCAGACATTCAAAAAATCTAATTTCCAACTCCATTAACTAGTTGAGTTCCTGTATAGTAGTAGGGTTTTTTTCTTTTTTTTTTTTTTTTAATCCTTAGTGAGAATTGCTAAATTTTTTACGTTGGCTACCATTCTAACAAGAATTACTTGGATTAAATGAAACTGTGTGTGAAAAGGGTTGACAGGCCATTTAATACATGTAATTTGAGTCAGAAACATGATGATTTTAGCCCCATAACAATTTCAGAAGTGCATTAGTCCAGACAGAGTAAGGATCATTGGCAGATTCGAATGTTAAGAGTGATAAACAGAATTACAAAGGCATAGCAGTCTAATAAGCCCATTTAGTATTGCGCTTGGGGCTTTTCACACCTAAAACCTATGAGGCCATCCAGTCATAGTGCAGTAGCTGACTTCCATGATAGCCTGAGTCATTATGTAAAAATTAAACTTATTTCTTAGAAAATGTACAAAGCTTTTTAGATTTTTAAAACTAGAAAATAACCAGATTTAGTTGTTAGGGAGGTAATCTACTGAAGAGTTCATCTCCCATTTTCCTTTAAGATTGAATAAATTTTTGATTTGTTAAATGCGGAAGATAAAAGTGGACATGTATTGAAGGTATCCGACATTAAGAATTATAGCAAATAGCAGAACAAACATATCAGATAACAAATGTCTTAATGATTCCAGTAACTAATAAAAAGTGTATATATCTTATAATTTTTGTTAGTGTTTTTGCTTTGCATTTATTATTTTTTTCCTTAGAATGATCCTGTGAAGTATCCCAAGATAAAACCAGAGCATTTCACAGAATGTTTGCCTTGAAAGTATAGTTACAGAATTTAACTCTAATGAAAAGAGGCTTTTTAAAAGAATTGATTTATCATTTTTGTTTTAATTTTCATTCCAGTTAATTAGTTAGTATACAGTGTTATATTTGTTTCAGGTATATGATACAATGATTCAACAATTCATACATCGCTTTGTGCTTACCACAAGGGCACTCATGAATCCCCATCATCTATTTAACCCATCCCCTCACCCACTGGTAACCATCGGTTTGTTCTCTATATTTAAGAGTCTATTAGAAGTGATTTGAAGTATGTAAATACCAGTGATTTAAAGAGATAGATGCTGGAAGATGTTTCAAACTATACCTTTCCTTATTTTTCGAATATTCCACAATTTTAAGTTAAATTCATATTCAGAAGCTTCTTATTATAACCACTTATTTGTCACTGCTGAAATAGTTTACTATGATTTCATTTTCTTGTGTAACCTTTGTTTTTCATACCTCGTTTTTTTTCATTTGCTTAGTTTTGTCTGGCCAAGTCTTTTCTATACACCCTCCAGCAGCTGCATAAAATGCTCCTCTACAATTTTCCACATGGTCAAATCTGTCAGATAAACTTATCAGTTGTATTTGTTCCTGTAGTCATCTCTTCTGTAGCTGTCTTTCTTCCTGCTGTAGTCCGGATTGTTTTCTCCTTAGGCCTGCTGCAAAGCTGTCATCTTGGGACTTCCCTTAGCTGACATTCTGGGAATTTCTTTCACTTTCCTTGAGTCCCTTTTTTCTGGATTCTATGCCTGCCTTTGGTTTATTCCTTCATTTTGGTTTCCTCTACTACTACTGTGAAAGTGTGTTGGAAATACTTTTTTTCTTTGGATTTATTTTTACCCTCACGCTAGACTGTTTGGCTGTTGAGAGATTTCTATATTGGAAATCATTTTCCCTCAAAAGTTTGGAGATATTCCCATATTGCCTGGCTTCCAGTGTTGATGTTGAGAAATTTGATCTCCAAAGAGTTGTCTTTTTTTCCACAATCTTGGAGATTTCAACCCTTTCATTGAATTTTTAAATTTTAGGTCTGTTTTAAAACAATGTTATGAGCTCTCATTCTTTGTTCCTGTATTGTAGCATCTTGTTCCTTTTTCATGGCTGCAGCATTTGTTATCTCTTCAAGGATGTTAATTATAGTTTCTTTGTTTCTTGCATTGTTTTTGGTTCCTCTAAAACATTTTTGTTGTTGTTGATTTTGGTCTTGGAGGCTTTCTTCAGATGTTCGTGATCCTTAGCAGTTCCTTCATATACAAGGAATGTTCAAAGCTGATTGAAAGTTCACCGGGCATGCTTGAGCATGGCTTAGTGACTAATGAACTCCCATTTTCTATCCCTTTTTTTTTTTTTTTAAGATTTTATTTTTAAGTAATCTCTACACCCAGCGTGGGGCTCGAATTTATAACCCAGAAACCACGAATCGCATATTCTACTGACTGGGCCAGCTGGCACCCCCCCCCCCCAATATTTTATCTGTACTTCTTTCCTCTGGGTAGTGGGTAATAACAGAGTTTTCATTTTCTTCAGATAAAGGTCCTTCGTTTTTCTGTCTGCATAATTGGAATAATGGAGAGGAGAGGATTGATAGAGGTAATGAGTTTAGATGGCAGGGCTTTAGTGCTGGGTGGAGAAAGAAAGCTATAAGTTTGACCATTCAGTTTCTAAATTTACATTTAATCTACCTGTTTTTTTTTTTTGTTTTTTTTTTTGATCTACCTGTTTTCATACCAACATTTCACTTCTTATTCTATGTTGGATGTACCTGAGCTTGGAGTTACTCTGAT